GGTGCACGAACTAGGCTACTGGAGAGCGCCAAAGAAGCGGCAGCCTACGACAAGCCAGGGTATCTAAGGTGCCTAGCGTCTTCACCGCGCTTTGGCACAGGCAGGCAGGCAATCTTAGAGCGACTGCAGTCATAGAGCTCGGTAGCTTTTGTGCTCAACAGAGGAATCCGGAGACTGCAGAAGCGATAGCCTCCCCACGAAGCAGAGTAGCTGTCCACTCCTCCAGCTGGTACCAGAAGGTCCTGGAAGCGCCGCTCAATGTCCCTAAGTTAAACAGAGGTTGCCCGACTGTTTAGAGCCTCTTTCTGAGACTATTTCGACTTTGACGAGGTTCTCCTGCACTTGCATCTAACGAGAGCAGCAGCCTAAGTGTTCCTGTCCCACCGATTCAAGGTGCAGTAGGCCTCGTACTGATCAGTAGGGTTGCTGGCGATGTCTCAGACGGGAAGCCAACCAACAACTGCTTCTTTGGCTACCAAGTTAGGCTGTTGAGGGCGGTTGGGCACAAATTGAGGGGTATGACAAATATCGTGAAGGGAGTAAATCGACGGCAATGCCACACACTACAGCACCGTATCGATGTGCTCGTTGGTGAAAAAGGGCCCACACTAGCGCAAAACGAATTTTGATCATGCGTTGGGAGAGAACAGGCGTTTGCCGTTTTGCCAGATCTTGTCACGAACAACGTACTGGCTTGCACGCCTTTTGGGGTCTGCTCAAGGGGCTTTTTGTCACTTTGCATGTAGAATATGCCTCTACAAGCACTCACAAAGCTGCCTAAACAGTTTAGTCCGAGGAAGGGTGGGGGTGGGTGCCAAAGCACAAAAAATATCTGACTCGGCTGCCGTCAGAGGGTTCAGGTCAAATATGGCCTCAAACAGATAGCGCCGCTCGTCCAACTGAGCATATTCCCGACGCACCTGTTCCAATGTGCTATTCTCACGTTCAGCCTACTCATCAGCCTGAGGGTGGCAAGCACAATGCATGACTCTCTTGAATTCCGTGCACAACTGCAGCCATTGGCAGGCAGGAGTCGAAGGTTACAACTGATGACTTCAAGGATGCCATCAAATGAGACAGCCGGCGAGTAACTCAACGCTGTCACCTGCTACAAACGCGTTTCTAGAAACAGAAAAGTGGACAATCTTGCTCAGACAGTTGTTTATCACTCAAATGAAATCCTTTCCAGTGTCGGCAGTAAGGGGCATTTTTTTTCCAGACAGCTGCGACCCCAATGGCTACAGGGGGTGAATACAAGACTCTACATATAGAGTGGAGCAGGCACGCAAGCGTGGCCTATAATAATTCTTATTGAGAGCAGGGAAAGCTTTTCTCCTGCCTGCGATGTTTCGCTGTGACGTGCTCACGGTGACTCACGGTGACTCTAAAGCACATGAGTCAGGAGTTCAGGGAGCTGTGGCACGCAAATCCGCAACATGCAGCTAACAGAATTTCGCTAGCAGTTGCGAAAACTAGTACCAAAGGAGTTCTTCAGCTCATTGTACTACGAGGTACCGTTCGCGAAGGGCTCGGACCTTTGCGTATGCTGAAGTCTAGGCTTGGGGAGGTAGAGAACTCCCGTTCTAGGCTTTGGGAGGTAGAAAACTCTCGTTTTCAATCAAAGGAGTTGGAGTTGGCTTTAAGAAGCGCTTCAGGTCAAGTGATGTGAGGAACGTGTTCTGAGAAGGCGCGTGTTGAACCCCAAGAGCAAGAGCAGTAAGTGGTGGATGAAGGCAATGGGCGAACGTAAAAGCCTTGTGTGGATACCTGCTAGCACTCAATATTCTGTGAGACTCCCTTTGAAGTCTCTCTCGCAAGGATGCCAAGATGGCGAGGACCCCAGGGGAAGTAATGAAAATCTTGGGAGGCTTACTGGGTGCTCTTGCAGCACGATCTTGAGGGCAGCGCAACGCTGCCTACGCCACCTAATTGCGTGCGCGTTCCAAGTACCTAAAAGTGTGGTGGTGGAGCTCAGCGAGGAAGTCAAGCCACCAAGGCTTCCATCAAATCCGGGTGGCCAAGCAAGGCCAGTGCATTCTCTCAGTCTTGGGATTATCCATGTGTGACTTTATGCCATTCCATCCCACGGATGTCCCTCTATCTTCCAAGCTGAAGTAAATTCTTAGCTCGAGCAGCTAGGGACATGGGACTTGGTGTCCATGCTTATCTTGCTGGCCCGGGACTCGCTACCAACGCTCGACCTCTTAAACAACTGCTCGGCATCTTTCTCGAGCACCAGTTCAACCGTGACACTACATTCAAAGTCAACGTGCTGCCCTTCGCCTGACGCAACAGCACAGGCTGTCTTTGGCCCCGCTATGTCACCTGTACCACTGGGAGCATATTGGAGGAACGTAGTGCACAGCACTACACTCTTATGGGCTACAAGGGGTGCAACAGTTTCCATGACTGTCAGCCTGGACACCTGTTGCGCTAGCGTGTCGTGGGCCTGCATTTCAGGGCTTCGCCCAATCTCCCAGTCTACCCCTAGGGTCCAGCCATACGGTATAGGATGCACTAGAAAACTCCCCGATAGATATGCATTTCTGCAGTACCTAGTAAGTCCCGTTACTAAGCAGTCGCTACGCAGTTATCTTTCTTTGGCTACAGTGAGGCGGCAGGCCTTGTGTAAATGACGCACCCTCAGGCTAAGCCGCTCAGCAATGGTCAAAATGATTAATCTGCATGGCGCGCCCGTGCCGACGATTCCCTCAGATCAGTCCCCTAGTATCTGCGAAAGGACCGCTGCTGTCATGCCCTCACGGCACAGTGATTTCTGGGCGTCGGTTACTGTCTCCATCCTCACTTGCTCCCATCACCACTTTGAAGTGGCTTCCGTTGCTTCAACGTTCCTAGCATCGTGCATACCGCGCCTACAGTGAGATACTCGTGTCGATACAATCACTATTTGGGCTAGCACCTTTCCCTTCTTCTGGGCGGGGTTTCGCTTTAACATTTTAAGGGTTCATCTGTAGCCCCTCCCTGGTAGGCTTCCCTCTTGCCTAAGCAGCCTCTGCTTCCAGCTAAAGGAGACTTCCATGGCATTAGGCGTTGTTCCCACAGTGCCCGGCAGCCAATCTCCATGCCCCGTGTGCGTAAGATGCTTGTCTTCGACAACTTTGAGGCCTGACCGTTTGAACGCTGTTACTGTCCCATCCGCTTGTGGGGCCTGGGCGCATTCCTACTTCCCTCGTTGTAGGCTAACCACGGCTTCGGCGGTGTGCCACAACACCTACGTAATAATCTGCACGTCCACACCGAACGCAGATCCCTTCTGACCGGGTGACGCTTTCGTTACGTGTGGTACATTCTTTAGCTACATGCCTCTTCCCCTTGCTAGGATCACACGGGGACCGCCGGATCGCATCTCAGGAGTTGCTGTGCTCTATCCCCAGTGGTTGGATAATATCGCTGGCTCCTAGTCAATACACCCTCGAAACTAAGGGCCAACTCAATTCATCGTTTCTTCAAGTGCTTTAGCTACCCATGGGCCTTCCAAGGCTGCTAGTTCAGCAGTTGCCTCCTTTGACTCCATGAAGTCAACAGTAGCGTCTCATCCAGGGCCTGGTTTAGCTCAAGTAGCAGAGTGGCCAAGAAATAATTCAATAGCTCTGCTGCTGGCAAGCCCACCTCTTGTGCTGTGCTTGTGTGTGTTGGCAGAGTACACTTAATGGTCTCCTCGTCAATGATTGAAATTTTGCGAATAAGCACAGACCGATTCAATGTACATAAGCGCTGGAGCATATCACGCCGTACCCTGTCTTTTATATCATTTCTAACCTCCTTCAGACAAGCCCAACATGCAGAAGTATCGCCTTCCAAATATTCCCCTAATTCGCCACCCTTGCAGCAACCGCCCACAACGAGGCCTATGAACCTTGTCTGTAGGAAGTTTGCGAAACTTCGTATATTGTACTTCTTCTATGGTACGACCGTGTGCAAGTCCATGGGTGGCTGCGTTGTCATGCTCATCTGCCCCTCAAGGTCCGGGAGACGCGTCGCCTCTCGCCCCGACAGGGCAATCTCTCCTTGGTTGAGTCCACTTGCTTTGCAGGTCCGAATGCCTGTCTCCTGCAGCAGCATTTGGGGAAGAGCAGCCGCGTCGTGGCAGCCTGACATCATTGGTGCAGAAGCTGGCGTTTGCCCTGCTCCACAGGATTAGCGCATAGCATATATCGCGGGACAGCCTCCAACTGTACTGTGCTAGGCGCAGAGCATTCCCTACTTGGGACTCCTAGCTGCCCTCAAAGTTGCACATACTGTTATTATCAGCAAAGCAGCCAAATAAACATGTAAGAAAGTAATTCAGTTATTGTTACTGTATGATTAATCCAAGAACATGCCCTGCGTGCTCTTCAGCGTCCCTCTACCATGTTACTGGACAAGAGTGGCAGTGGTGGCACCACCGTGCAGCCACTGCAGAACTACCCCAGACGTTTAAATATCCAGAAAACTGGCGGCCACCCAGCCAGAACAAATGCACGCAAGCAAGGGACTGTTATGAAAACAAATAGCTATTATATCTGCCGCTAGCGCTACGGCTCGTGCTACCGCTCACGCTACATCCAGGTCTGCAGGTCTACCACAAAAGCCACAAAAGCCGAGACGCACTTCTGTGTGGCGCGACGTTTGGCTGCCAAGTCAGGCAAGAGTCTGCTGTAGATGCACCGCAAAGACAGCTTTTGCTGTCTTTACTGCCTCACTAAGTGCTGTACAGTTGCTGAAGCAGCTGCAGCTGCTAAATATGGGGGTGCTACAAAGCGGCGCCAAAACCTAATCAGTCAGCTGCATCTGTCGAAAAGCATCTGCATTCCGTGGTGGCTGCCGGAAAGGTAATCTCCGTTGCATCTGCGTTGCAGCTGCACTTGCTACTACTGCAACAGCGCCTTTGCAAATACGCAGACACAACAAGGCGATAACGATTATAACAGACCAAGCAACAGACATGAGGGAGGCTGCGGAACGCAGCCGCTGTCGTTGCACCACTGACAGGCTACAAACTAACAAATTGCCGCTGTAGCTCCCTCTGCAGTGCGAGCACCGCTTTCAGCAGCTTGACCTCCTGCTGCAGCACAAGAAACAACAACAAGAAGACCAAAAGCTACTGCAGCAGAAGCACATAACACGTCTAGTAACAGCAACAATGTCAGATCCTCACCAGCTGTGGCTTGACTTTCCGATAGCAGCCGTCGCAGCACCTCAAGCTCCGCCAAGACGGCCGCAGTGTGCTGCAGCAGACAAGAGCGTACAAGAACCGATTACAGCAGCTGCAGCAATGGCGCTAGCAAGTGAAAGTAGCTGCAGCAGCACACACGCCTGGCGCGAAAAAGACGAGTTACAGCAGTGTAGGCTGTGTAGGCTGACGTCGATGCGGAGTAGCAAGTATTCCGTCTGCCTCTGGTGCAGTTCTAGGACAGAAAGGCGCCACTGCTTCCCAAGGTTGCGCCGACTGCAGGAAGCACCACAGCCAGCAGTGGCAACATGCTTCAACCGCAACAGCAATAGCAGCACCTGGGCAATCAGTACACAATCTCCACCTTCCCTCTTTTCCCCTCCGCGACGCCCAACGGCACAACACGGCAGCAACAGCAATACAAACCAACCTCCTGATAAGTGACAAGAACCTTTTGTGGTTCTCATAGGAGCATCCGAGGGGTGGCGCCAGACGCGAAGGCAGGGGCCGTGGGATGCAGCGAGACAAATCCACTGCGTACTCTTCATCGGATTCCGCTTGCTGCCGCTGCTGATCAGTCCGGCCGCTGCTGCTGGTGTTACACACTGCTGGCGCTGCTGGTGTGGCTGCAAACATACCACCAGCAGTCGAATCCAGAGGCAAGGACCCATTGACCTTTCCGCCAGGGCATTTGTCCCATCTGCTTCCCGACGTTTTTGAAAGGCCCCTTGCGGCTGGTCCTGCTGCTGGAGATGCCGCTGCTACTTGTACTACAGCTGGTCTGTGCGCAGCCCTTTTTTCTGTGCCAGCCCCGGCTGATGCTACAGACACATCAGGCTTCTCAACGCTAGGCGTCCCGCTGCCGCCAGAGATGGGAGGCTCGGCCTGATTTTCGCTGCCGCCGCTACTTTTATTGTTGGTACTAGGGAAATGATCACGCAGCGTGCCGTTGATCAGAGGAGTAGCAGCGGCCGACGTGGTTGCAGTAGTCGGCTGCAGCTGCTGCGTCTGCTGCTGCGTCTGCTGTTGAACCTCCACATCCCGACAAGCATGCGTAGCACCCGCAGGCGTTGCTGTTTCTGGAGACGCGGGACTGTTTGTTTTACTACTCAGCGCTGCTTTAAATTCATAAAAACACTGTTGCCTCCACCGCAGTTTTTCCTCCCTGTTCACTCCGCTGCTGCTGCTGCTGCTACAGCGACTGCTGCTACCGCCAACCCCAAGAGCGCCGTCTCTGGCACTTTCTGAGCATGCCCTCCTCGCCATTGCTGTTGGTGCTGCTGCAGCAGTCCGGAACTGTTCGGTAGGCTTGCACTCCGTGCTACAAATACTGTGCGTCATGCCATTGTTGGAACCGCAGCTGATATTGCTGGCGTTTCTTTCCTCTACTTCTCCGGCTATGCGAGGTCGCTTCCTGCTGCTGTTCCCAGGCTCTTCCTGGTTACCAGACGCATCAGCGAGATGTGGTTCCTCAGCTATGCGCTTCCTGCCAATCGGGGCGATGCTCCCCCTGCTGCTGCTGCCGCTGCTGTCTATTGCTGACTTAGCCTCACCAGCTGACTCACGAACACTGCCGCTACTGCCTTCAGGTATCCGCAAGCTTCTGCTAGTGGCGTCTGTATTGCTTTCTGGCCTGCTGGGCTGCCGTGTCAAGCTACTGCTTGCGCTGCTGCTGCTACTGCTACTGCTGCTGCCAGCACAACTACTTCTGCTCCAGCTGCGCCTGCTGCCACTGCCGTCAGCATCAGCAGCTGCCACTGGAGCTGCCTCTTGTGTTTTCTGTGGCTTGCCGTCAACTCTCGTCGTCGGCGCAACGCCGGCTGTAGCCTCGCATGGTTCTTTGCCGCTGGTGTCCCCGTGGCCTTTGCTCCTGCTGCTACAGCTTGGAGTATACCTGACGCCACTTGCCTTGTTGTCTTTATATTTCGCGCCGCCATCGCGCAATCTGCTACCCCTGTTGCTTAGTTCTGCTCCACCCGCAGCTTTTGTTGCTACCATTGGTCGGTCCCGCATTCTGTGCTTCTGCTGCGCATGCCGTCGCCTGTCCAGCGATAAGTCGCGCCGCCACTGCTGCTGCGGCCGATTCCCACTGCTGCTGATGCTGCTAGGGGAAACCGAGCGACAAGAGCTGACGCTCCTGCTGCACCTGTTGCCACGCCGTTGCATCAGCATCATGTGATGCTGCTGCTGCCACGCTTGTTGGCACTGCCGTTGCAGCATCTCCTGCTGTTGCGCATGCCACCTGCTGCTGCTGTGGGGACCTGAAGGATGCATGAGTAGCACCATCCCCCGCTGCTGCTGATGCCAGCGCCGTCGTGATCGTGATTCACATGAAGACACAGCAGAGACATCACTTGCTCTTGATAAAGATCTTCTGAATGGCCCCTCGGGTGGCCTGTTGCGGCTGCTGGCGGCTGTGGCTGCTCCACCAGGATGATCTTGCCACGAGCGTCGTCTGCGCTGTTCCTGCTGCTCGTAAGAGCAGCCTGCATCATCTCGCGGCGAATCCGACGCTTCATTCACACTTATTGTGCTAACGCTCCGGCTCCGGCTCCTGCGGCAACAGCAGCGGCAGCAGTAAATGTGAGGCGAAAAAGGACAGAAACAACTGCGCCAGCGCAGCGGCAGCAGTGGCACGAGCAGTGCGCCTTGCAGCAAGTACTTCCCAGCACCATAGAAGAACACGAACATACATTTGAAAGACTCCTACGCACCTGTCCCTCTCAATGAACGATCCGCGTCGTAAAGACAGGACTGAAGAAGCACCTCTACTGGCCACATAGCTGCCGTTGCTGCGGCTGCGACTGCTGCTGCTGCTCCTGCGGCGGCCGAGCCAAGCAGAAGGGTGCCTCCTCCGCACTTCCGCGTGGTACTGCTGTTCTTGCTGCACATGCAACTGCTCTAGGGGACTCTGCGGCATTCTTCGCTCTAACAAACGCAGTGGTTGCCCTCTGTGTCCCGAAGGAACACCCGCTCTCTCTCCGCTCCTTCCGCAATACGCCATTCGCATAAGGGGATGTCCCGGGCTCTCACTGCAGCGACGCATCGGGTAAATGGGGGCCCCAAGAGGAGGGCCACCGGGGTAGCCCCCATAATGATCGTACGGGCCATCTAGAGGGGTCCTGGGGCTCCCCCGATCAGTAGGCGTAGGGGGAGGGCGCTCTGATATCCCACCACCATCTCGGGGGCCAGCAGACTGCAACAATAGCAGTGGCACCAGGTTACACCCACATATGAAGGCAGCAGCACTGGGACTCCGTTATGAGCTACTACGGCTGTCGCAGCAGCCACAGTTGATGGCAACTGGAGCAGCAACGGGCGGTGGAAGCTAGAAATATGCGGGAGCCTCGCGCTATGTGACACCTATATCACTTGCAGAATCCGAAATCGCGGCAACAGAAATGGCAGCACCACAAACTCAGTAAGAGCAAGACAACCCGTGGGGGCATTACCCAGTTTGCGTGGGGTGAAGGAAGTCGCTGACGGTGAGGCTGGCGCGGTCGCATGCCCGATGCACAGAAATATGCGTCCAGGAGAAGCCCAACGACAAGACTCAATGCTTGCTTTCCCGCATTTAACGCAGCGTACACTATAGCCGACGTGAGCCCCCATGGAGGGTCTCATCTATGAGCGTCCAAAATGTGCGTATAATGGATAGCAGCGGAACAGCTAGCTACCGATGAGGCTGCGAAAACAATACGCCTGTCCTGAAGTCGCTTTGACAAAAGCCTGACCGCCTCTCACTGGCTTGGAGGAACAAGAACAGGAGGGGAGCTACGTGCCTCCCGCTGCCACTGCTGCTGCTGCCGCCACTGCTGCTGTTGCTGTTGTTCATAAAGCCGTTGTGGGCGGTTACGCGTTGGTGCGGTGAAAAGCGTTGCTCTATGGGGTCCGATGTGAAGAATTTTGCGTCCAGGCAGGAGAAAGCGCGCTTGAAGCAGATACCAAGATAAAAAGTGAGGCCTGAAGTTTCAACATGCTTAAATCACCCCTTTATCACCGCCCTCAAGTTTATTTCTGATTCCGTTAGTGAAGTTACTACGTTTTCCTCCTGCGGCTAAGTAGGGATTTGGTTGGCTGGGGCTGTTGCTGCTGAAGCTCTTGCAGCTGCGGCTCGTGCAGCTTCTCCCCGCTTGCACTGGCGGACTGATGGGTGGTTCCTGTCCCTGTGGCGTTGCAAGTCATGCTTACAACAAAAAAATCGCGAGCAAAGTATTTAATTTCTTTATAAGCTGCTTTGTGGGACCTTAATTATTCAAGCATCCCCCCACAAAGTGGAACCAGAGGAGGGCGTGGCGTGGGCTCCGCAGGCAGCAGGTTTGTTCGCTTGCTTCGCGGTTTGGTTTGGCTCTTACGAGCGTGACCTATGTTGTTGACCGTTTTCGCCTCTTCATATTTTTAGGACTTATCGTCTTTTCTCAAGTCGGTTCTGCAGTGTCTTCTGCCAGTTTAGGTTGGTGCTACTTACGTATCCGAGCGACGGACGGTGGTCTGCGGGGACGTCTGTGGGGTATGCAACTGTAAATACGAGTGGGCATAGGAACTCCAGGAGCGGGACTAAGGTTTTTTTTTTGTGAAGATGGATGCTACCGATTCTGTAACAACGAAGTCAGGTGTTTGTGGCGTCGAGGTGGATTCTGGCGTAGTGCCAAACTCTTCGAAACGGTCTTTGGGCTTTTCACTTGGCCGCATCATCCCATCATATCCTGTGCGTGTGGTGATGCACGTTTTAAGTTTATTGGCTGTATGTTTAGTGGCTGCGAACTCGCTCACCGGCACAGCGACAATACGTGGGTCATTCTGCAACAACACCGACATTGCACTACCTAAGAGGAAGGGCTCGATCAACTTGGGGCAGCTCATGACTCTCTCGTTCGTCGCCCCATCCCTGATCATTATCTTGGTTGAGCTGCTTATCGCTGTGGTGAGGGTGACTGAGGATAAGGAGGCACGAATGAAGAGCAACGTGACTATGTTTGGCTGGACAGTGCCACAGTACATTGTGGATATGTACAAGTACTTGGGGGGGTTCGGCTTTACAATGGCCACGGCATGGTTGTTCGCGGATTCTTTGAAGTGCTTCGTCGGTTCTCTGCGTCCTCATTTTTTCGATGCGTGCAAACCTGATTGGAGCAAGGTTACCTGCAAGGGGGAGAACGGGGAGTACATCTATGTCGAGGATTTCCACTGCACAAATGACCCTCACAGAGTCGAGGACGCCCGCCGGTCTTTCCCCTCAGGTCACAGCACTTACACCATGTGCGGCATGCTTTTCGGGGTTCTCTACTTGCAGGCACGTTTCCGCTGGCACCAGCGTCAAACTGCCCCTAAGCGCCGCATGAGAAAGGACCAGGGTGCATTTGGAGCCTTCGTCGAGCAACTTTTCTGGGTGGCGCAGGCCCTCGTTCCAATTCTTCAGGCAATGATGTTGTTGTTGGCGCTCTATGTACCGGCGACTCGTGTTCTGGAGCATTTCCACCACGTCCGCGATGTCTGCACTGGCATGCTGCTTGGTGGCTGCGTCGCTATTTTCGGGGCTTTCTTCATCATCGATTTGAGGGATTGAGGGATTGATGTGAAATGCACGGCCACTTTATTTTTCCAAGTACATGTGGTACAGAGGCTGTACTAAGTCTGCATAGCAGATGCTTATCTGTCCATTTTTTTGTATAATGCATCGTAATGTGGCACGCATGTTGTGCGTCCTAGGCTTTCAGACTTTTTCTGCTCGTTCCATGGGCATAATGCTGTGCCGGCGGCGCCGCGCTGCGGATTTATTTGGAGTCCGTCATTCGCGCAGCATCGGATGCGTTGCATCTTGTAGTTTTGCGTATAAATCATTGTCAGGATAGAGGGCCCCCGCCCCTCTGTAGGCGGACTGCACATTTTTTTTATTCCAGCCGGTTGACAATGAATATTCAGTTTTTTTTTTGTAGGCTGTGGGAAGCCTTTTTGGCGCCGGAACAGCCAACGCCGGGTCAGCTGTTTTTATACGGACCAATTTTTTTCTGACGCTTTTTAGCGCGTTGAATTTTCCACGCGGTCGTTTTAGTGTCATGGTTGGCGCTGCAGTAGAACTTGTCGTTTTCAGTATCACTGTTGCTGCTGCACTGGGCAAGGTAGTTCTGGTATTGAAGGCTTTAGAGGTTTTTGGGGCGTCTTCTACCCAGCTGGTAACCTCAGCTGGTTTTCCTAGTGATTTGTAGCGTCTGCTGTTGCTTTCCGAGTTTGTAGACTTGTTAGGCAGCGTGCGTTCCTCAAGGGTTTTTGGAACTGGGTGTACGTAGAGGGTGGCGTTTTGGCGTCGATGGTACGGTAGTGACTGCCATAGTTTATATGTATCGACGGTCCATTACGCGCGTTGTGTCCCGTGCGGTGCATATAGGAGAGCCGTACGGACACGCTGAGCATGCTCGGTGGGGGAGTGCGGTGTAGTTTATACTGCCTATATTTATGTGTATATGCATGGAAACAATTTGGGTGGTGTAAAGGCACTGTGGAGGGACGAGGAACAGTAATGCTGACAGTAATGCTGGTCTCTGTAGTCGATGGGCTGGTTAATGGCATTAGTGAGGTAGTTCAGTAGTAGTGGCTGGTCAAGGTGCTTTTCAAGGTGTATATCAGTGGAGAAATTAATAATACAAACTCTAGTTTTGCAGTGTCATATGGCTGCATCCTTGCGAGACCGCACTGTTGCGGTGCGTGACTGGTGGTCGGGCACAAGACAACTGTAACGTTCGTGATCATCACTGTTCCGTTATTCTCTAGAAAGTTTAAAACTTTAGGTTGGTATTAAACACAGTTTTACAGTGTTTTCTTGTTTGTAGCTTTCTCTGGGTAGGCCTTAGACACTTGCTAAGGGCTGCTTCACCGAAAAGTGAGCGGGTTTGGAGTGTTCGTCCGTTGCTTTGGACAACAACGGGCGCTTTGGCGGTACCTTCAAGACAAAATCAAGAACTTTTAAGCCTGGAAGTGCTTCAGGCGAATTTAGTTCATCTGTTTGCGTTTTGTGAAGGCCAGCGTGGTTTCCGAGCACGGGTCGGCCACCTCTATCTTTTTAACGTTGGAGGTTGTTCGAATATTGCTTCCCTTTCATCTGAGTGCATAACTTGCAGGTGCCTTGATTTTTGTGGCTATCTAACACATTGGTGGTCGGGCCCCTGCGAGGTCATTTACTTTTTCACTGACAGCTCGTGTAAATCTACTGCTGCGGCGCAGTGATGGTTTCGCACGAGCCTGATCCCACGAGAACTTACTCCATTGACATTAGAAATGGAGGTAGCTCTGTTGGGCGCACCCAGGATCCTTCGTTGCCCCCAGCCCTTGACAGTGCCACTTCCCTTTCGTCCTCTCCTCAGTTTTCTTGTGCTCCCACTCGGCAGCACCGTCGCCCGTACTTTTTGAGAATATGCATTCATCTTATGACATGCATTATCCTATTGGTCTGGTCTCTTGTATTGTTGCCGAAGCCAGCTGTAGTCAGAGGGGCTTTCTGCAACAACACTGAAATATCTGCTCCATACCAACGGGAGTCGGTGTCTTCCTTTGGACTTTTCGGTATTTGTTTCGGTATCCCATTCTTCCTTGTAGCTGTAGTTGAGCTGCTTTTTTCTGCTGTCCGCTCGACTCGCGAAGGGAATCAGGAAGAAACGAGCGTAACGCTTTTCAACAAGAAGCTATCGCAGACGCTCGTTGATCTCTACAAATATTGGGGGACCTTAGCTGTCTCACTTAATCTTGCTTTTTTGTTGACAAATGCGCTAAAGGCGGCGGTCGGGTCACTGCGCCCTCACTTTTTGGACGTTTGCAAACCTGACTGGAGCCAAGTGGCTTGCAAGGACCCCACGAGCGAGAGATACGTTTATGTTGACAACTTCCACTGCACCGGAGATCCAAAGCTCATGGAAGAAGCCCGGCGCTCATTCCCATCAGGCCACAGCAGCTGCACCGTGTGTGGGATGCTCTTCGGTGCGCTGTACCTACACTTCAGGTTCTCATGCCAAGGACAATCCACAGGTTGCTGTAGCGAGCAGCCGCTGAAGCGCGGTCGAAAGAGTGCCATTGTGGAACAAGTCTACTCGGCGTTTCAGGCACTGGTTCCGTTCCTGCAAGCCATAATGCTGCTACTTGCTTTGTATATACCAGCAACTCGAATCCGGGAGAACTTCCACCATGGCAGGGACGTTGCTGCGGGGATGGCAATCGGTGTTCTTAGCACACTCTATGGCTTTTTCCTTGTCTTGAATGTAAATGGTCGTTAGTGTTGTTAATTTGCCCGCTTTCCGCCGTGCAGGCGCCCACCAGGTCAGGTGCTGTACATTTGGTGCAAAGTTAACATCAAAAGAATGCGCGTGCTAGCGTGAGATATTTGGTCGCCGTCCATGGCGTCTTACAGGGGTTTTTGTTTGCGGATTTTTGTGAAGGCGTGGGCTGAATGGTCCCGGTTCACGTCAGCTTCTCTGCTGAATGCGGCAGGGACTTGAAATGCTCACTTGTGAGCACCCTT